GGAGGACCAAGATGGTATGCTTCCATGAGTTCACAGGCAGAGCATTAGTAGCATATTCTCAACTAACATAGAGCCATGGCCTACTACCAGTGTTCTTCATAGGTGAATCGTGACAAATTGTGACAGGCTCACACACAGAGTCAGGGGTGGTGGGTGGGAGAGGGGAGCAAGACCTATCAATGAAGGTTTACAGGTCACTTTCCTGCCTTGTACACACTAAGACAACTCCTTGGGATAGACACACTCAAGGGGTACACCACAGGCACACTTTTCAAAGCTGCCTGGGGTTTCACCACAAGTCACAGGCTGCGTCCCTGGCTGGAGTGGTCACGGGAGATTATACATTTAAGCGCCAAAATGGCACACGCAACCCTAGTTGCAATATTGGTGGAGAGTGGGGAGGAGTGGATTACTGTGCTACCATGCGTGGGGAGGGCAAGGGGGGGGGAGTGGGAAAGGTTTCTATAAAAGTACAAAAATAAATAAAAATAAAAAATCATTTATTAAGAATTGTTAAGAAGCAGATAGGCGGCATCGGCGGCAATCCGATGTGACATGATCAAAGTCAGCTACGCATGGGCTTCAGGGACTAAGGGGGTCGCAAAATCATACACCCCTAATCAAACATGCATACTCTCTGCTCAAGGGTCAGATGACCTTGGTGGGACGGCTTAGGTACACTCAAAACCTTACAGGATGGTGGGGACCTGAATTACTTTTGAATCTTTGTATACCTCACAGTTTACTGTAATTAGTTAACACTTTCAATTGATCCCTATCTGTGTGAACAATTGTTACTGTGGGGAGCAGGCACGGATCTGGCTGGAGTGCACTCTGCTTGGGATTGGTGCTCTCTGCTTCCATAGTCACACAGGTCCCCTCACTAACGCAAGGTTTTGTTCCTGTTGGTTCTGCATAACTACCCCCTCATCTTGAAAAAAATGTCCCCCCCCATTCTCTTTTATTTTATTTTGCTTACTTCTCTCCCGCAGGAGCAACAAGGGAGGGATTGAGGTACTGCCTCACGCATCCTGGACAAAGTCCCTTTGGGGGGCCTTTCCTTGAGTAGACCTCTCCACATACACATAGCGTACCTGACAATAACACACTCTTCCTTGTAGGGTCACGTAGTCCACTGCTCTTACAACTTTTACCCGTCCCTCCGCCTTCTCTTCTGCTGCTGCTGGTCATGCTGGGGGAGCCCTCTTCGTCTGGGGTTGGGGGGCTAGGGAGGAGGCTTGGCCTTCGCAGGTGGGTGTGCCTCTGGCATAAGTATTGATAGTTACCAATAGTCTCCTCACGGGGGGAACTCACCCGGCTCCCACCTTGCCTTTACAACACAACTTCATAGCCTCTTCTCCTGTGGTCTCCCAGGAGGTAACAATGTTCTATTGCCCTAGCCCACTGCGGATCCTCACCCAAAATTGTCAGGATGGAGGACACTCCTACTCAAGGAATTATGACACAAACGCGTCTCAATAGCGTTCCTACAGGAAACACATTTTCTGGAGGGATCAATCCCTGCCCTGAAAGATAGAATGTACTCACACACTTTCTTTAGCAATCATA